TCTTCTAATGCTGTAAAGAACAATTTACTTAAAATTTCTATAGAAACTGGATTATGGTAACCACTAACTTCATATCATTATGCAATTATTTGTAAGCAAAAACTTTAAATGACACAGAATACATGTATACAAGTACATTTTTAGCATAGCGTTTGTACATGATTGCTCTTTTGACCAACTTTCAACATAGTTGGGGTGGCAAATAATTAAACTTCATGCTTAAGCAGAAGTTGCCTATCCCAACTTTTGACCATTCGTGATCTTTTAACTGCTAATTCTCAAGAATCTCATTCAGCAAATTACACTGAATTATTCCGATATTTTTGTTATTCATCAAGAAAATCATGTCAATTTTTTTTTTCAATTATAGACCAAAAAGGAGTAGATAATTACATCAAATCCCAAAAGCAAATCTTCTACCCTATAAAGTTTTTTTTTTATCAATAATCCAAAAATATATACCATGTAAGAATTAAAGTTTAAATTTTTCATGAATAAACTAGGGTCAATTGCTATATGCTCTCTAAAGAAGTAAGGGCAAATGGAAAATCAGTATAGTTTATTGGCGCATATGGCAATCAACAATCTAAATTAGTCTTAAATTATAATATCATTTTGTATATCCTAAAAGAGCAATATGGTCTTTTTTATCATTTTAGGAAAATTCCTTCGAATATCCTCTAAATTTCCTTAATTCTGTTCAAATCCCCTTACCTCTTCCCTGCTTTTTAAATCTCACCCCTCTCTGGAAAAAATGTTAAAAAATTCCTTACTTCCAAATTTGTGCTTCTATATAATAAGCCTTGACTGAATTTCTTACAATCTTGTTTTTTATGGAACCCTCCATTAATTGAACAGCAAGTTTATAAATTACTAGAACAACTAAAAATTTTTCTAAAGTTTCACCAATCATCCGAAACTAAGTGAATGTTTAAAATAATAGAAAGAATTATCATCCATGAAAAACTCACTTCTTATGGATATCATCTTTTAGTTGCTTGAAGGGTTTCCAATTGAAACATTATGAACTTTTAATGCTTCTCAACGGATGTTTGTTTAATACCTATTTTACATAATTTTTATTGTTAGCTAGTGGCTATTGTTCTTGGAGGACTCATCTAATTATATTGTTATTTGAATTACTTTCAGAAATTGGATGAGTTTTCAATTGAACTACTTATGCAGTTGATGGGGGCACTCCTTTTGTCCATTCTCAAGGAAGTTGTGAATTTATTTCTGAAAGTAATTGCACTACTCTGGGCAGCCAAGTATGTGATGATTTTTGTGCAGCCAAGATTTTTGCCGATAACCAGTCAGATGGGAAGGGGTCACAGATAACTAGTCAGGAATGGATGGAGTCCGAAATGGCTAATGCAACTGAAGAGGAAAAGGTCAAAGCAACAATAGGTGAGATGGGAGTCACCAAAGCTAGGAGTTGTTAAGATTAACACAGATGTAGCCATATCAACTCAAATGGTAAGAACAGGGAAAGGAATTACAGCAAGTAACTAGACTAGTAAAATAATGAAAGCAAGTGGGTACAATGGAATGCAAGAGCAGAAATGCTATTGAGGAAGAAGCTCTAGCAGTAAGAGCTGCGCTTATGATGGCCAAAGATGCACGATGGACTAAAATAGAAGTCCAATCAGACTGCAAATCTGTGGTGGACAAAATCAATGCAAGCAATGTTTAAGACATTAACATTGCAACAGTCCTGAAGGATATTGAGGAGATGAAGAAAGAATTCGAACAGTGCAACTTTCCTTTTGTGTACAGTGTAGGGAATGTATGTAGCCATACACTATCTCAATATGCAATCAAGCTAGTAAATGATGTAGAATGGGACAATGAGTTCCCAGTATGACTAATGGACATAGCAAAGAACGATATGAAGGGGTGATTCTCTTTGTAACTAAATCTTGTATTATCAAGTGTTAATATATAAAAGTACTGTTACCATTTGTGAAAAGAAAAAAAACAGTTTGGTGCTGATAAATTATTAATTAGTACTTGTGGATCCAAATTTGGTAGAAGTTGGTGTGATTGTACTTACAAATGCTAGAAGTGGGCGAGAATGAATATTAGCTTTTTTTTCCAACAAAAAATAAAAGGAAAGACCAATATCCTTTGCAGGTATCAATTCATGTCATTGCTAGGATAATATATTGCTGTAGTAATAGACAAAATCAAATTTTGTGAAAAAGTGCAATATTGATCAGTTTCTCATGTAGAGTAGACGTTAGACCAGTTTTACCAAGAATCTCTCATCAATCCAACTTGTGGTTCTTTGATATGACACAAGGCTAGACAGAAGGTGCTCACTTCAATTTGTTGACAGCAAAAGTACTGGATACACATTGAACAGGGATGCAACCTGCATATTTGATGCGATGGTAATCTGCATACAAGTCCAAAGGTTTTTCTCACGCCTTGTTCATGAGAAAAAAAAAAACCACAGAAACAAACTATGCCTCCTTTCCCAAAACCAACCAAGATTTAAGAAACCATTTCTCCTGGTATAAGTGTATTGCACGCATTCTACACAAAGACATTCGTAATTGGAAATATGCTAAGCCAGTCAATGTTCTTTGTTATTTCGTCAAAAAATCAACATATCATGCAAATCAAGCACATTTCAAGTAGCACTGGCACATTGATACAAGAGCAATGGAAGACCAAAAGACTTCCAAGTTGAGAGTGGGAAATAGAGACAATTATGTTTCAAAATCATATTTTGCTGCTTACTTTACAGGAAAAGAAGAACACTAGGGAAAGAATAAGCGCTAGAAAATACTATGTCACCACTAAATAGTGCAGGCATATATGTCCAAGGAACTAAAATGCATACAAATTCAAGGGGTTAATTCCACTTTGTCCCCTCAAACTTTGGGCGATTACCCACTTCAGTCCCTTAACTTCAAAATGGGACACTTAAATCCCTAAACTTATGAATTGCTCCCAGTTAAGGAAAATTGTTGACAGAATCCTGATTGCCGTTGGTGGTTGAAGAGCGTGGTAAACACTGTCCTTTGACTGAGGGCAACAATGAAAATTCACAAAAAATCACATATATAGATTAAAAAAAAATGGTGAAATATGGAGGGAAAGTTTCCCTCCATGCTACCCACTTCAGATGGATAATGTAGACCCGATCCAAATCATAAAAGGGCACTTCAGGTCGGTATGCTGAGAGACCCAAGCTGTCATTCTGCTATCCACAGGGCAGGAAGAAGAAAAGGAGAACCCAACGCATGGTTCAACAAACAAAGAGAAATGGTGAGGCAATTTTGTGATTGTGGAAAGCAAACATTGATGATGACATCATGGACTGCCATGAACCCAGGAAGAAGGTTTTGTCGATGTGCCAAGTACAGAGTAAGGGAAATTAGGGTTTTGTGCTTATACTTGTTTTTTATTTTGGGTTTGTATGAATTGCAGCCACCTAATCTTGTCTGCAAACATAATGTTCTTGTCAAACTAGGAACAAGGAGGCTGCATATACTGGGATTGGGTTGATCCTGAGATGTGTCAAAGGTCAAAAGAAATAATACCTGGACTGCTAAGGTCGATGAACAAGATGGAAGCTGAGTTGGATAGGTTGAAAGAAAATTCAAGGTGCCAACAATCGAAAGTAAGGAAGCTAAGGATGTACTTGATTATCCACTGGGTTGCCATTGTCATGTGGTTGTTTTTGTTCAAATCTGGGGGAGAAGGTCCAAAATGAGTTGTAGAAGAAGCAACCGCTTATGCCGGACTGCCCGTTTTGTTTGCTCAAATATGGGACCACCTTTGTCTGTCATTGCTAAGTAGTAGACCTTTTGAGTGGTGCAGGAAGGAAATTCTTGCTTTTGCTGACTATGTAATTACCAGCACTTTCAGAATTCCGCTTGCGGGTTTCAGCGTTTTATGCTGTCGGGATGTTAACCATTTTGCTTGTGAACATGTGCCACATTGCTTTGAATTTTTGTGACAGGTGAAAGCTTTGTCTGATGAATGTATTTGTGAAATGACCTGAGTGGTGGTAGATGGGTTAATTGGGTTGGTCGCGTTACCCAATTATTTATATCCATAAGTAAAATTTTAAGATTCGCATACCCATCTATTCATGGCCGGTATGGGTAAATGTAGTTCAATGGAAATGTCAAAAAACGAGTTTGACAACCCAATTGCTCGTTTACAACCTATTTATTCTAACTTTTTACAAATTCGTCTAAATTAATTTTGAAAACTTAACTGCCAATTTATACAACCCTTTTTTTTAACTGTCATTAATTTAAATATTGACTTATAATGCCCAAAAAGCCTAATTACCAATTTTTTCTTCTCGCTATCAAATATAATATTAACCCGCATGCGAGGTAACAATGAAATAGTAAAAAGACAGAAACCCGCTTGCGGGTTTCAGCGTTATTATGCAGGCGGGATTTTAACCTGCTTGCTTGTGAACATGTACCACATTGCTTTGAATTTTTGTGACAGGACGAAAGCTTTGTCTGATGAATGTATTTGTGAAATGACCTGAGTGGTGGTAGATGGGTTAATTGGGTCGGTTGCGTTATCCAATTATTTTTATACATATTTTTATCCTAATTACCAATTTTTTCTTCTCGCCATAAAATATAACATTAACCCGCATGCGAGGTAACGTTGAAGTAGGAAAAACACAGAATCCCGCTTGCGGGTTTCAGCGTTATTATACAGTCGGGATTTTAACCATCTTGCTTGTGAACATGTACCACATTGTTTTGAATTTTTGTGACTGGTGAAAGCTTTGTCTGATGAATGTATTTGTGAAATGACCTGAGTGGTGGTAGATGGGTTTTAAATGTATTGTATCAAATTTAGGGATATAGTGGACCTGCTATGTCCCATAATTGTGAACGTTGGACCTGCTATGTAATCAGAATTTGTTGTTTAGGGATTTTAGTGTCCCAATTTGTAAAGTTTATTGCAAGTAATCTATGTCACATTAACAACAGCAATCAACTCAGAACATAAAATTTTCAGCAAAAACCTTTGATCATTCAACAAATCATCCAATACATAATAGCAATACCAGGAATGACAAAAATTCCACATTAACAGCCTCTGAATTTCACCCATCTGGACTAGCAAGACAAAGGCTATATGAGTTCCACAACAGAGGCTACCAAAAACAGAGGCTAACAAAAATTCCATATTAACAAAAAAATTCTTAGTTCCAATGGACTATATGAGTTGAACAAAAGTTCGCCACATCTGGACTAGCAAAACAGAGGCTTTTACTGCCCAATTTGATTGTATCTGCAAAATAAAAAAGGCTATATGCCTGTACAATTCTTGAGTTGGTTTGTCCAGCATCAGTTAGTTCATGCTTGAAGGCTATTTGGCCTATTGCTGCAATTTTCCCAACTTAACAGATTGGTTTCCATCCCCATGGAGCTGCACATTTTCAATTCCAAGTGACTCCTTCGCATGTCCCGCAGCTGTCTGTAATGTAGACAGGTTAACACACAAATTGCCTTGCCATGTGAATTGTGCTGGCTTAAGTCCACTGCTGGAATGAGAGGCTGTCCCCAAGTCCACGTATGAGTGTGGTGCTCTCATCGTTACTCCGTGGCTGTGGGAATAAAGTTTGCGACCATCAGCTTTGGAGCTTAACTGCAAACAAGCACATAACATGAATCAATAAGACATGACACCCATAAATAAAGACCTGATGTATGGAGACCACTTACATGAGTTGTTGTAGGACTCTTTTCCACATGCCCAGAACTATTTTGAGCATGATTATATGGGTTTTCCAGATCATCAGACCGTATTTTTACAGTTTTGAATCCCAAGTCTCCAGTCATGTCCAGTGAGCTCCTAAAGGTCCATTGCCTCAACTTACAACTATTCTATGAGTGACCATGCTTACGACAAAATGAGCATTTTCTTCCTTTCTTTGTCACTGGTTCTTGTGCCCCTTGTTTTGGCTGATTGGCATCCAAATTTTGAGATGGACCTGTGTGACTCTGTTGCGTACTTACTCCAAGTATGTCAACGGTCACATCACTTGGACAAGCCTCGTTAGTACTTGGCTGCATAGATGGGCCTGTATCTCCAATATCACTGTTCTCCTTTGCTGAACTTGTAGTTGTCCCCTCAGTGGTTTGCTTATTTTTATCCGGACATCCTCTTTTGTTATGTCCGTATTTTTTGCAGCGGCTGCAGCTCATCATGGTGCCAACCTTGCTAACCTTGTGAGGTTTAGTTTGATTGACACAGCTGTCCCGTCTGTCTTCTTCTGAAGCCTTTTTTCTCATTTTCTTTGGCCTTCTAGCAAATCTTCTATAAGTCGGAGACTTCATTGCTGGAAGGTCTATGTGCTCCCACAAATTAGGACCATTGATTGGATTAAGTACAGGTTCATAACTTTGTAGATACGTGATCTTCAAGTAGGTGTTGGAAACATGCTTCTCTGGTGCTTCATGTCTCCTGTTGATGGCAGCTACAGCATGGCCACATGGTATTCCCCTTAATTGCCACTTTCTACATGAACAGGTTTTGGCAGCCATGTCAACAATATACTGCTCCCCAAATGGACAGCTTATCTGATACTTCATTGTCCCAGCATATGACGCTATGCACATACACTGCTCTTGCTTAGCCTTTTCCAATATCTCAAATATTGCTGGACAAAGAAGACCTGAATACAAAATGAAAACAATAAATTGGTCATAAATTTCTCAAAGAAATTATGAACTGACCTTAATACTAGTAAATAAATAAAATGTGTCTTAACCTTCGTGCTTGGACATTGCTTCCCTGTTCCTCTCCATCCTCTTCAGCAGGTACAAATAAATGGTTTGCAGCATGGATATGATTGGTAGTGACCTGGCCTTTAAAATTACTGCATTAAAGGACTCACACATATTATTCACCAAAATATCACAATCCAATCCACATCTAAAATGGGCTCTACACCAAGTTTTGGGATCTTTTTCATCAAGCCAAGAATGCGCAGCTGCAGATTCTTGCCCCAACTGTTCCATTTCGACTTTCCAGTGGGTAACATAAGAAGCTTTTGCGCATTTCCAAAGTCTTTCTTTTAAGGCCAGGCCTCTATGAATCTGTTTGAAATTGGTGTATAGATGTTGCACACAACACCTGTGCTCAGCTTGTGGCATTTTGTCTCTAACTGCCTGAACTAGTCCCTGTACACGTTTGAATACAACTTGGCTTAAATAAAAAGTTGTACCTGAGTTATTAAATAAAAAGTTGCTGTATAAATAAGTGCTAATACAATTTATCATACCTTTTGCTTGTCAGTCATGACACACCAATTACTGGAATCTGATATTTCCAAATCTTGTACAAGCAATCCCAAAAACCAGCTCCAATTGTCATAATTTTCCACTCTAACAACTGACAAAGCTAGTGGAAACATTTTATTATCCCCATCCATACCCACGGCTGTAAGTAGTTGTCCACCATATGTATCCTTTAAGAAGCACCCATCCAACCCAATCCAATGCCTACAGCCCTTTAGAAATCCTCTCTTCAATGGCTCTAAGCACATGTAAAGCCTTTTGAATCTGACAATCCCATCCTCATCCTCATCCGTCTCAACGAACACTGTCGATCCAGGATTTGCTCTCCTCAATTCACCACAGAAGTCCTCTAACAATGCATACTGTTTTTCATGACTGCCTTCAATTATGTCTCTTACTTTTTTCATTGTCCTATAGCCTTGTTTAAGACTGAAATCTACATTTAATTCTTCAGTCACCCTAGTCATGAGCTCCTGGACTGTCATGGATGGTGTTTTTCTCACCTCATCTACAAACAACCTGGTAGCTAGTTTTGATGTCATGTTTCTATTATGGAAGACACGTCCACAGGTGTGCTCCTTGCTAAGTGTCTTGATCTGGAAAGTGTTTTCACCTTGCATTTTTGAGCCAAAAATTTGCCATTCACAGCCTCTGCATTTCACCCGTACCCTATATGTGTCATTTTTTATGAATTGGACATCCCTTCCCTCCATAATAGCCTGGATTCTAACAGCCAACCTAAAAATAACAACTGATGAAAACCTCTGGCCTACCTTAAATCTTGGACTTCTCATTTCAGTTTTCTCATTAAAAACTGAAAATTTAGGCTTCTTATTTCTCTTACGACCATCTTCGTCTTCGGATTCACTCTCACTCTTCAACTCTCTAGAACAATCTGTTTCATATTCTGACTGCATATCCTCCACATTAAACATGTCAGGCTCATCACAAATATTTACTTCGTCAACAGCTTCTCCTTCCCTACTTGCTCTCTTCTTTCTTCTGTCTTTGCTGGTAGAAGGTCCAACTTCAGGAGCTCCTTTATGCACGCCAAATTGTTGTCCAATCTTTAAGGCTTCATCAAATAAAACATCCTCCTCAACTTGCCCCGTATAATCTGGATCATCGAACTTGTCATCAGCCTGCATATCATCATTAGCCTGCACATTATTATCAGCCTGCACATCAGTCTCATCAGCTTGGATATCATTATCAGTTGCCATTTGTGCTTCTTCCCCTGCATTATCTCTCTTGTTGTCCTCTTCTTGTTGCAAATTATGACTTTTGGAATCAAAATTCTCATGACTGTTTGTAGCAACTTCATTACTGTTGTCATCAGCCACATTTTTCCTTCTGTTGTCCATATCATTGAAGTCAACTTCTTCCAGTATTGCTATGTCACTGTCCATTTCAGATGTTTCTTTATCTTTTGTATCCTGCTTAGCAGAAGTTTTGTGGCCTTCAGGCATGTCTACATACTCTGTTTTTTGAGTTTGAAACCTCACTGGATTATCATCAGTGCCAACTTCTAGATAAACCTCTGCCACTCTATTCAGTGGCAATGTGTTTACTAGAAGATCACAATCCCAATCACACATGCAAAAATATAGTCCAGTCTCAAGCGGCATACCAGGAATCCTACCATACCACCCAAAACGAGCATCTTTCGGGTATCCTAGTCTTACTGCACATTCATCAAGCACTTGTAGTGACCATTTTTCAGCATTACAGTTGTCTATATAGTCTACCCTTCCTCCCACGTATTCTTTGCTGGGAGAGCTTCTGAACTCACCCTGATGGTGTATCGCCAAGGAAAATGAGTTGGGCAAAATGTCATTTGGACCACACTCTGGTTAAATAAAAAAATAAATCTTTAATAATTAACCCATTAATTATTAACAACATTTTTAGCATTTGGGACCACAATGTCTTCAACAGAAGGAACATTAGGGTTCCCACAACACTCACTTTTCAGTAAAATATGCAGACCCACTAACAGTACCATCAAAAATATATAATGCCTTGGACATGCATTCCACAACCATCCAAAACCCTAACTTTTCAACAATCCTTATGGCTTTAAAACGTTTTTCTACTGCTACCGTAAATTCTTACCCAAATTCCAATTATTAAATTCAATTAAAGTACACAAAAAACTCTAAAATATTTTTCTCATACCAGTACTTGTCTTCTCTTTTGCTTTCCATTGTTTCGCTGCGGACGCGAACGCTTTTTCTCTCACATTGACTCGCTTTCTTCCCATTCTTGCAATCTTCAGTGTTTTTCAGCAACAATCATTCGGATTTTTACACACTTTGGTTTTACCCCTCCTCTCTATTTTTTCATCCAAGACAGAGGAAAGAAACGACCACTCTCTGACTGTTTCGCACTTTCCCTTCTCTGGAATTTGTCTTTGTTTGTCCTTAATTTACGACCCAAATTTACGTTTATGTCCTTATCATTTTCAGTAACAATATTCCCCCATCTTCATTAACGGAGAGTGTTTGCCACGCACTTCGACCACCAACGACAATCAGGATTCTGTCAACAATTTTCCTTAACTGGGAGCAATTCATAAGTTTAGGGATTTAAGTGTCCCATTTTGAAGTTAAGGGACTGAAGTGGGTAATCGCCCAAAGTTTGAGGGGACAAAGTGGAATTAACCCCAAATTCAAGTATCACTGCAACAGCTTTACCAACTTCAGAGGTTAATGAACTGGCTTCGACTAGCTTGGGAACAATGACTAGTCAAAATCTTTAATTATGTACCAATAAAATTCAAAAAAAAAAAGAAAAGAAAAGAAAAGAACACACATACACACACTCGCATGCGTGCGCACAAACAAACAAAATCTTCAGTTGCCTGGAACGATTGCTGAGAAGAGCAGATGGTTTATGTCTTCAGGACCTGACTCCTGCTTCTCATCACCTGCAACATTGAGATTCATTCGCAAAATTAGAGATCTCTTCATATGACACTGAAGTTAATGACATTCCATCATGTTGAGATTACTATTTCCCTGTGGTTTATGAAACCATGTACACATGCTTACCAGTTGGAACATTTTTCAAGATTATTAGAAATAAATTCGGCAATATAAACAGTATTACATTCATTGCAGAGGGAATCTGCACATGAAGAAACTATATCCTGCAAGATAAATGAAACTATAACTTGCTTGGTAATTGCTTTTGCACATAGCAGTTTATATTTTATCCCGACTCATATAGGTCAAATCCATCAAGGCAGAATCTTTTCTTTGTTGATGATATTCCTCACATACAAGCTGAAGTAAGCCATAGAGCCCTTCAATATCTAGCTGGTAGCCCTTTTGACAAAACATTGAAGCTCCAGATAGCATACTTACTTTTTGAAGATAACTGAACTCCTAACAAGCATGCCAAAATCAAATAATAAGGGATCGGTTCACTATTAAGCATCGTAAGAAATGGTCCAAAAATTTTGACCCAATGAATTTTATTGTACACTAGATAATTTGAGCATTGTAATTGCCAACTTACAACAGCACATGAAATATAGCCAACCAGATGAAATAAACCCCTACACAATCTATTTACATCAAGATTGAGATTGAGCCACTTTAGGTCTAGTGATGTTCCCCCACCCACGCCTGTTTCCTTGCATGCTGGTTCCCAGTTTACTGGTCAATCACTCTAATAGCAGATGAAGCTAATTAAATTTGTATAGCAGATTTTAGGCAAGTTAAAGGACTTCTTCTCAGGCTTGATGTACCAAGTTACAGTTTGGTAAGGTATTTAGGGCAACGATTAGAAATCATCAGAAAGAAGAAAAGGAGACAGAGAACTGTGGGTGCCAACGCAATAAAAATCTAGGAATTGGAGGACCATTATCATTTTAAATGTTTTCATAACAGAAATAGCATCAGACTAGATTTGTCGTTGATTGCCCCAAGAGTAAACATAATAGGGTATGATTCCCCTGCATAAGTATTTTGACTGCCTTGTCATGCTTTTAACACCTTACTGGTTGTGAAAAGTCAAAACTGTCAAACCATTTTAGTATGTGCTATCTCTGAGAGACTATGGTATGAGCTATCATGGATGTAACCTTTTTGTTTTTCTCCTTTCTTTCCAGGATAAGTGAAAATGGCATAGACAATACATCACCTGTTCTTGATCTCACTTGAACTGTCCACTCCTCAATTATCTGCAGATTATGAATCAGAAAACATAAGGGCCACGAAATTTCTGATAGAAACTAAAAGCAGATAACGCAATATGAGGCAGATGGAAGCATGGCATAAAGCTTTTGCTCCCTTGGTGCTCTACATGACAAACCTTGCCTTCGATAAAATTTTGGTTGCTTGCTGGCAAATGGTGCAAGATCTTTAGACACCATTTGGAAATCACAACCTTCAGGTTGTAAAGTATAGAACTCACAGATTTTGTTATTTTTCCTCAGTTTTAAGTGATGAGAAGGTCTAGTTCTGATCAATTTGTGCCGAAGGGATATTAACGAACTTTCTCATAGACTTAAGCTCTGATTTGAAGAGGAAAGGAAGGATTGCTTTCTTATATTGCTATTCTTACATGGATAATATAGCATAAAATGAAAAATGACACAAATTGATGCAGACCCAAAGCATAGCAAGGATAAACATAGATGACAAATAGTTTTGTTCTTACAAGTTTGAATAACATCAATGTATACTAACACCCAGAGATAAAGCCATGTCTATTAGGTATATACTTACCTGGGGCCATAGACTATGTCCATGCAGGTATTCATTGTCTATTATTATCCTCTGAACTTCCAGAAGAAGAATAAGACAAGGAGAAAACATAACGATCTACTATTTTGTGGGAGAAAAGGAGAAACAAGAGAAAAACATAAAGGATTATGTTTTCTCACCTTTACTTCTACAGTAAAATAAAAATCCCTTTTGATGGGTTCAAATTTGAAAGTCAAACTAGTGAAGAAGAAAATATTCCTGATTGTTCTGGTTCATGATTTCTCGTTACTATTTTCCGTGAACACCAACACAAGTCAAGAATTTTATTTCCTTCATACTCATGTTGTAAAGTGGAGTTCAAAGAAGAAATAAATAAAAACCGAAACAAGATAACCAAGATAGGGAAGAATGATTTAATCCCTTTTGCATGAAGATCCACAGTATCAAAAAGCAAGTAAGTTTACATGTGTGGGAAGATTAAAGTGTTGACATACCATTGCAAAGAATAGAAGCTGCACTAAATTTCTGCCGCAATGACATCTTACCTGATTGAAGTTTGTGTATGCAGAATCATTAGAATCATCAGTAACTGGAACCCCTGTTGACGCTTGAAGCCTCTGCAGTAATGACCTGTTTCCAACCAAGATTACCCTGGCTTTGTCAATTAAATCCTGAAAATGTAAGGGAAGGAAAATATTACGACTTCAGAAGAGCACCCAAAAGTCTGAATAAAGTTCTTGCATCAGTCCAATCACAACCAACGCGAATAATACTCTCTCAAAAAAATGTGAAACTGTCAAACCAATTTAAAACATTTGGATTCCAACAGCAAACTTCATTGGTTTCCCTTCCACCTTCTTTCTCTTAGAACCTTGAAAGCTGAAATAGGGCCGGTCAAAAGTTCAATTTCTTGACCTAATACCCACATTATCTTAACTCTGCTCAAACCATACCTTCTAGTCATTTATGATTCCAAAATTATATAAAAATCCCATTTTCAAACAAGATTTCCTCACTTAAACTCAACAAGTCAATATCATAATCTGATTTTGAAGACCTATTCTGCATCCCAAAAAAGTTTAATAATTATAATTATTCTAGAAAAATACAATGCCACCTAGAAATCCAGATTTCCATTCATCTGCATCATAAACAAGTATAAAACCAACCCTACAAAATCTACTCAACGACAGAAAAAAAACTCCCAAAT